GGGCCCCAGAAAGAGACCAAACATGAAGGATCATCGAGGGATTAGTGAATGGAGGATTAATCGCTCTATTACCTCACTGGTCAGTAGTCAATGGTCATGCACCTTGGTTCTTGGGGCCCTAATCTCTGGGCATGCCAAGTGTCCAACCTAGAAATAGAAGGATGCACTAGGGCAACTAGGAACTACGATCACCTATACATACATATGTAGAGTGTCGATGGCAAGAAATATATATTGCAAAATGCTGGAGCGCGATTTATATGAAATGGGTTTTGTCGTTATTGTAGCATTTTAGTCTAACAATACATTGCTATGTGGAGAGAAACTTACACACTGTAACATATTATTGAATTGGAATGTCATACGACGTAAACTTGTCCATGCAAGTCTCTCTCCGAAAGGAGGGCAAAATCTTGAGTGCAATAAGTGAGACATCCTCTCTAGTGATGAAAGAGATAGGAAGAAAGATACTTAGGCGATGATATAATTGAAATTAGAAAATATAGCATCTCAAACGAAAGATACTTCACTTTTTATATGTAAAGAATCATTTCATATAACAGATATAATAATTTGACTAGTGCATAAAATTTTCAGGTCATTATTTTGACGAGTGACATTTGCATGCGCACTAGAAGCTACTTGGTTCTAAGGGGACCTAACTTAGTGTTAAGTACCATAAATAACCTCAATTATAAGTTCCTAATTGACAACTTAAGCACTTACTGACATACTAAACTAAAACATGGATGAATTTGTGAACCAAACTCTACTTGGCAATTTGACAAAGGACCCAGCTTCTCTTTTCTTTTCTGCTTTCCAATCATCAGAGGTCCGGTGGAGCTTTATAAGTTGTGTGGCCAGCACAATTGACAATACAGAAGAGTTGAACCACAACAACAATAATAAGTACCAATATCATCAGAATACAAAAACGACATAGCTGTATGGTACGGTCGGGGCCCAGGGCGCACGTGATATTCACCAGAGGAACATGGTCACTGTCCGTGACATGGAAGACAAACTCAAAGCTTTTATTTAGAGGTTTTGATTTGAACCACATTTTTGTTCCGTCGAAGAAATATATCAATAGGCTATAGCTATCACCTCTCTACGACTCTACTTCTGTTTTTGATATGAGAGCTTCGGAGCAATTTCCAATTTATAATTCCCTATGCTTTTTCTAGCTTACCAACCAGATATGAGAAAAACTAGATAAATACATGAAAGCTGGACCCCCATCTAGTTGGATTTGAATACCGCCATGGTAGTGTATGGTGGAGTTTTATATGGTTTGGGATACGTATACTGGGCACATCAGTGTAGCGGTATTTCGAACGAATAACTCACTATCACATAAAAAAGTTCAAACACGTAATATGTTTTGTGTGATTTGATTGGGATATCAATATTATGATGTATCAGAGAGGTGAGGAAAATGTTTCTTAAGTATGTGAATTGGATGAGAGATGAGGAAAATATGATTCTTCAAGGGAGATGAAATTTAATTATAAAACTTTTTTGCAAGAGATTCCCTCGATTGTGCAACCAAGTTTTAGTTACAGTGGTGTTATCGTTCACTAAATGCTTTTTACGTGTTTTAAAGGTGCGCTGCTTGTCTAATGAATGATTACAACGCGGTGAATTAGTGACATGTGAGAAGAGAAAATCTTAGTTTGACAAGAATCCAAGCCAACTACATTCAAAATAACACATGCTGCATGCATGACTGCAAAAGAATGATGCCAGAAACTATTCATGAAGAAAGGAGATTTCAGCAGTTCAAATTAGGCCTACCTGTTTAATTGGATTCGGAGGGCGCAGTTTGTTTGGCTAGAAACAGAGGGTACACGTACCTTCAACTTCCTGTCCAGTCCACGATCTTGCACCTGGTTCGAAACTGTAAATTGATGCGTGGGGTTACAAATTATGAATTCCAAGTCACTGTAAGCCGCTAAAACGGATTGAAGATGATGTAGGTATCACAGCAAATATTGCATATGGTTATCTGTTCATTTGTATATACTGTTACATGTACGAAAGATCACGACGCATCGATGCATCTTATCTTATTCTTCATACTTACTAAGACGGAGTAGCATGCCGGTTTCCGATCTAAGGAAAACAAACGCGCGACAAGCGTTACTACTTCAATATTCATATACTTTTTATACAGGGGGAGGTGAAAATTGTTAATCTTGTAAGAAAATCCAAATGATTGTCGAGGGACTTCACTAGCTATGACTTACACATCACCATTCCGAAATCTAAGATGACAGTCAAATCAATTATGTCACTCATTTAGATCATGTAAAAGGCTTACCAGTGTTACCACTGGCATATCTATCGCTATAGTCGAAACTTGAAGGCAATGAGGTTTTCATATTATCGATATCCTTCACTAACTTCTTGTTCTCCCGACTTCCTCGCTGTGTATCTACTTGTAAAGCTGCATACCAACAGTTTGTAGCAAACCACAAAGTTAGCGAAGCATTACTAGAACGGTCCACTATGATCCGACTACAATAGTTACAGTGAATACCTTACTATCCAGAAATTAAATTAGCTACTTAGAAAGAAGTGCTATTTTATCTCAGTCCATTCAAGGGGCAACAGCTATTATGCTATAACGAGTGGCGTAATTGAAAGTCTACTGCTGTATCACAACAAGCTGAATTGAAGTGAGAATTTTTCACAAGTCGAAATATACTTCATACAAGAACTGAATCCTGACATGGGTTATAAATGGTAAAACTTGGCATGGCCCCACGCAACCAGTTATTTTTATAAGAGAATCACACGATTTTCACAACATACTTGCAGTTTCAAGTGTGTATTTGATCAGCATTGTTAAATACATCATCCAAGTTTAGTTCAAAACATATAGTATGAGGTTTTCACACATCTCGTTTATCAACGAGCAAGAGTACTTATGTCTAAAAAACCTGTTACACTTCCATCCCTATTTTCTTTATCTTTTGACATCTTAACCTAAGGAAAGTGCATGATAATGTTAGTGGCAGGATGATATTAAGGACTTCGGTGCATACGATTGGATTGGACGTCTCACTAAATTAAACAAAAAGAGCAATACGATTGGATTAGATAACTTCCTAAACCCTAAACCCTAAACACTACTAACTATTGACACGAGAATTGCTCACATTTCACACTAAGGAGATTATTCTGCAAATAAAGGCAGGGTATTTGTACCAGAGTTGCAACTATTAATATCTTCGAGAGATATTGGACCCTTATGGCGTCTCGTACACATTCCGACGATTGGCCGAGCGAATTCTTTCAACAATTGCCAGCATTGAGTTCTTCAAACCATTGTTCTTCTCTTCTAATAAACGAATTTCATTTTCGAGGAACTGTTTTTCCAACATAAGAGCGTGTAGTTCGTTAGCGTTACCATTGTCAATGTCCTTCTGAAAATCTAAGCACGATGCGATAACGGAAAGCAAGTGAGGTAATCGGAGAACTTACTGGCGACGGTGAGGAGTCCGGTGAGTTCAGATTGCGAGAAGTAGAGCGTCTTGGTGAGGTCGGATTCTTTGGCGGCCAGAGCGCGTTCGACATCGGAGCATTTGACGATCTCTGACTCATCTCCCGCGTAATCTGAATATTCGCCTCGATTTCTTCGTTCACCTAATTTCACAAGCAAGAAGTTTCTTTTTCGATCGATGACGATTGTACTAAAAAGGGGAAAATTGGGGGAGATGAAGCGTTGGATGAGATCGGAAATGGAGGATGAGGAGATAGAGTGTACCTGGTCTAGCATGTCCTTGTATGTTGATATTTGGCAAAGGATCGCCCGGAATCCTCCATTTTTGTATCTTTTCCGGCGACTCTGCGTGTGCGCTCAGTTCAACGACTCTCTGCTTCCAGGTTTCTCCCGCCTTTTTATATCTGCAGAACGCTAAAAGTTTATTAAGCCTATCGCAGTACGGCCATGCACTCGAAGTTTCTGGTTCAACTCCTAATATTCGCTTGGATTAAAAAAAAAAAAAAAAAAAATGGTGCTATCTATATATTCATTTTTATATAATACATATTTTTCTTAATTTTCTACTGTTAGATCGAATAAACTGAATAATATCAATAACAAAAATTAGTAAAGTTGTGTAGGAGCTAAAAATGAGTATTTTAATAACACTACTCTTAATAAATTACGCGTGTATAGTGTTTTACACATAAAAAATGTCAATCTTTTATATGTATTATTGACACAAAAATATGTTGAAAAATAAAAAATTAATGTTTGTTTGGAATTGCTTTTGTAGGGGTTAAAAGATGAGTTTTAATAGTCAAATAGTGATTCTAACTTGTTTGTGTAAAACCAAACATATAGACGAGCTCTCTTTAACAATAAAATGACGAGTTATCTAAAAAAAACATTTAGAAGTATTTTTAGCTCATAAAAGGGTATTACAAATGCTTTTTCAAGAAACAGTTGGATTATGAATACAACATTTTATAATAAACGAAGAAATACTTACAATTATCAGTGTTTTATTGAGAAACAATCTCACGCATTTCCTGAAGTATAGTTTCGAATTTCAACAACTGAAGTAGCAAAATCACAACCCTATAATACTTGCTACCCTGATAATTGAAATCTTTCTCTTTAACTCATTGTGTTCAAACTCTCCCCCTAGCATAGACTAAAATAGAATATTAGCTTGTAATAAAAAAACTACGGAAAGGATCCTTTTCGGATCTCTTTCATCAAATCCTCCCCATCAACTAATCTTGACATTCGAAATTTGATCAAACAACTAAAAATATAAACTCACTTTAAAAGTTATAATAATTTTAACCGTTGAATCAAATTTCATAAACCCAGATTGGTTGATGGGTGAGGATTTGGTGGAAGGGATCGTGAGAGGATCTCTTTCCAAAAACTACATCACCAAAGTAGAACTTCCCTAAACCCATGATTTGGCAGAGTACATTAAGTAAAACGCAGCGTTTTGAGCTTCCCCAACCCTACGTTTAAAAACTTGAAGCCCGAAATTTCACACGCACCCCGCCTCTCTGCTTCTCTCCCTCTCTTCTTCTCAACCATTCTCTCTGTTTTGGCGGCACCGCACTGAGTTATCGACTGCGGCGGCGAGTACGGTAAGCTTTTCGACGCATCGCTTTCTCTCTCTCTTTCTATATATATATATGTATGTATGTATCCAACTCGGCCTGGCTGCTTACTCGGTATATTCCTAATCGTTATTGCACTCGCCGCCGCCTGCAGCGTTTCTCCCTGCAAGCGTTGCGATGGGAGGCTCGCGAGCTCAAGTAAACAAGCAGCACAAGACGCGCTTCGCTTCAAAGTCATCTCGCAATCTCCACAAAACTTCAGGTTCTCTCTCTACTTTCTCGCACTTCTTTTTTATTCAGCCTCCTTTTCGTCGAAAATTTGAGACATAACGGCTATGAAATTCAATCTCTGTGTATAAGTTGAGTGTTTTTGGTGCTTCAGAGAAGAGTAGGATCGGTAAAACTGAGCGCAATGTTGCCAAGGGAGCTCGGGCGGCTCGCGTTCAGCGGAGCAAGATGGTAACTGGTTTCGAAATTTCCAGTCTTTCTGTCGTTTCGGTTTTTCGTACAAAACGTCTAATTTGCATTTCGATGCTTTGTAGCTTCGGGAGCAGAAGCGAGCGGCTCTTTTGAAAGAGAAGAGGGCTTCGAGTGGATCAGCAAGTCCTCCCCGTGTCATTGTGAGTGTTTTGTTTACAGTTGGCATTGATAGAGAAAAGCGTTTTGAGTGGACTAATGCGCAATTAGGATGTTTTTATCAGCTGTGTAATCTTTTGAAGTTCCGCTAATGGCAGGTTTTGTTCGGGCTTTCTGCTGATGCGAACCTAAATTCACTTGCTGAGGATCTTTTATCCTTGTTATCTCCGCAAGGTTATGAACCCACATTTCCAACGGTTGCTTCTCCTGAGTACAAGCTGAGAACGACGGTACCCTGCCTCTGCTGCTGTATTTTAAGTTTTTAGTCGAATGATTATCATATAAATGTTTTGTGTTGGTCGAGTAATTAACATCCATGACTGATGTGAATAATTTTAAGTATCTAATTCATGGTATCTTTTTAGGTACTGAAAGCACCTCATGGTGATCTTCCAACATGTATGGAAATGGCCAAGGTAAAAAAGTCTGTCACTTGTGTATTCTTCCTAAGTTTTTGCTTGTGTTTCGTTTGACAAAAAGGTTCTTTGAGTTGTAGGTTGCTGATCTCATCGCTTTTGTGGCATCAGCGAGCTCTTCATGTGAAGGAAGAACGTCTGACTACATTGACTCGTTTGGAAGTCAATGTCTTTCTGTTCTTAGGTCCCTTGGTTTACCGAGCACTGTGGTGCTAATTCGTGTATGTTTGTCTATCGGCTTTATATATTCCTGGAAATACTTGCAAAATAGGAAAATTAGGTTGTGCGTAATTTGACATAGGATTTATTCTCCTTTTGCTTCGTGCTTGTAGGATCTACCTGCTGACATGAAAAGAAGACATGATTCAAAGAAAATATGTACGTCTAGTCTTGCTTCTGAATTTCCTGAGGATTGTAAATATTATCCAGCTGATACAAAGGATGAGTTGCACAAGGTAACTGTTGACTCTAGATTCTTTATCTTAGGTTTATGCTTTCTGTGACAAAATTCAGAGTGGGTTATAATTTTAATGAAGTTATTTTGTTTTATATGTACATAATATCATGCCTCTCATAGATTTCCCTTGTCATCTTACTATAATTGCAGTTCATGTGGCTCTTTAAGGAACAAAGGCTTTCAATTCCTTACTGGCGAAGTCAACGGGCTTACCTGATGGCCCAGAAGGTGCTCATTTTGAACCTATCTAAGTACTTCGCTGTCATTCTTTGTTGGGTAGAGGTGGAAACTAGTAGGAAATTATAGGGGAGAAGTTTTTCTAGTTTGGCGAGGCATGTGTGCCTTGTAGAAGAACAACTATTCTTAAAGTAGAGTTGAGTTTGATAAATAAGAAAGATGATTCAAGTTATTTTCATCTGTGTAATAAGCTAACACATTTTGTATTTTTATAGGTTGATGTGGTAGCAGATGATTCCAATTTGGGAAAGTGCACCCTTCTCCTTACTGGATATATACGTGCTCGCAGTCTTTCAGTGAACCAACTGGTAATTAGTTCATCCAAAGACATGTCCTTGGTCACATGATTTGGAAGTTGTCTTATTTTCTTTTATATTAGGTTCATGTTTCTGGTGGGGGGATTTCCAGCTGTCCAAAATGGAAATTCTCAAGGATCCATTTCCTTTGAATGCAAGAAAAGAGCAAGATGTCATGGACTCGGATGAAGTGGGTGATGCAGAGGTATTAGCTGTTTTATTTGAATGGAAGTACAATGTCTGTAGAATAAGTTATTTCCTTTTTAATAATAAGATTTGATGTGATTAATTTATTTTGTGAAGTATTTTTCATTTGAAATTTTGAAATATTCTGTGCTCTTTTTCTTCTTCAAGGTCCTTCGTTCTTTGGTTCCTGATCCTATGAAGCAGGAGGCTTTACTAGTTGAGAATGTTCCTGATCCCCTTGCAGGTGAACAGGTAACAAGATTACCCTTCTTCTATTAATTGTTTGTCTTACTCATTTCCATTAACATAAATATGGGTTGATATTAAGAATATGGCTTGTATATTGCTAATCCATGAATGAATAAAACAAAAATAGGGGGATTTGAGTGGAATTGCATGAACTATAAAAGTAGAATGTCATGCTAGTAAAATTTTGCACCAGAGCATTAATTACTTCAGATGAATGCTTTTGACATGCCAGCCAGCTTTTTCCCATGCTCCTATTTCGCTTGGCTAATGTGATATACTTTCAGATTTTCTTAGTTTTATTATGAAGTTTGGTGAATTATTGGACTGGTTGTGGGACAAGTTACAACTTCACTCAAACCTAAATTCTGTTCTTGTCAGACATGGCCAACAGAAGCAGAAATGGCTGAGGCTGAACAAAGTCAGAAGCAAAAAAAGAAGAAAAAGAGAGCTCTTCCTCGAGGCACTTCAGAATACCAGGTCGGCATCTTTTCTTGTCAATTCCTTCAATTCTGAATGTTTCTTTGTTATATGTTAGTCACATATTTGTTTGTTGATGTTGAGAGGTTACAGACAAACTTTTAGTGGTATACCAGAGACATGATTTCGGTTCTTGCAGGCTGCTTGGATTGTGGATGATACAGATGAAGAGGAGTCAAGTACTGATGATGAAGCTGATGGTATGATATTGGATGAGAGGGACAGTGGTTATCCTGGTGAAGATGACAATAATTATTCAGATGAGAGCGACGATCAAGCTTCAATAAGGGACTCTGATGGAGAAACTGATGTTGATTCAGTGATGATGGTGAGCTTTGTATGTTATTTGTGCATCAAGTGATCTTTATTGTATTACCAGAATTAGTCGGTCTCTCTGTTCTCATTGAAAGGGTTTCTGATCTAACATGAAGACACACCAATTAACATGGAATACTATCATGTTGTTATTCATTTTCAAATGTAAGGAACATTAAGATTTAAGAATACCAAAATACCAACCACATCCTCTAATCATGGATCGCAAAGGTAAATTGTGGTTGCTTTTGGTCAGATATTACTTCTCAATGGTCAGAATCCTAGTGTTTCTCTAGGGTAAGCTGAACCACTGACATAGTACTTCAGACAATAGGTTTTTAAAAAGGTGCATAAACCACTCACTTTAATGGTTTGAATTAGATGCTGCATAGTAGGTTTTCGCTCATGAGTTTTCTACGTTATTGGTTTTTTCTCTATCTATCTATCTGCAGCACTTTCATTAATTTGTAAAGAATTCATCTGTGAGCATTTAAGGTTTATGGGAATTTTTCAAAAAGGAAAAGGACCCAATGTGTATTTGTCTGTAAGAATTCAATTGTCACTGTACTGGTACTAGTCAGATTGCTAATATTTATGTGCTGTCATTAAGAAGTTTACTTTGTTTGTTCAAGTTCTGTATATTATAAGACTTAAATTTTTATTCTTTGTTTTACAGGAAGGTGAAAACTTGACCAAGGAACAGTTGGAGAATGAGATTCGAAAAATAAAGCAAGCACACGCTGATGATGAGGGTACTTGTCTTTTTAGCTATGTTCTATCTGTCGCTACATGATTTATATTATAAAAACTATATCTGTAGCACCTTTATGTCAATGTTTAGTGCTGCATTACCTAGTTGGCTTATAATGGTTATTTTATATGTTTCAGAATTTCCGGATGAAGTGGATACACCATTAGATAGTCCAGCAAGAAAACGTTTTGCAAAGTATAGGGGACTGAAGTCCTTCAGGACCTCTTCGTGGGATCCCAAAGTAATATTCTTGTACTTGTGTAATAGTCGTTCACTCTATTTGTATCAATTGTCAAACTGACGTATGTCTTTGATGAACTTCAGGAGTCTTTGCCTGCAGAGTATGCCAGAATCTTTGCATTCGATAATTTTAACAGAACACAGAAAAATGTTCTTGCTAAAGCTTTAGGAATGGACCAAGAAAACAGTGATGACTGTGCCACAGCAGGCTCATATGCAAGGCTGTATATCACAGAAGTGCCAACTAGTGTTGCTTCTAAATTATGTATGCATGCGAAGACAATTCCTGTTGTAGCATGTGGTCTTTTGCAGCATGAGTCCAAGATGTCTGTACTTCATTTCAGGTATCTTCTAGTTGAGAAAAATTTGCAGTTCTGTGGTCTTCTGAAGGGGAGGTTTTCTCATGATTGTTGGCGATCTATGTTTTGCAGCATAAAGAAGCACGACACGTACAATGCTCCTATCAAATCCAAGGACGAATTAATATTTCATGTTGGCTTTCGCCAATTCATTGCCAGGTAGTATCTCTGATGCCATCAACTTATATACTTACTGAATTTTAGTGATTGACGCTTTTGCTCGTCACTTGCAGGCCAATATATTCAACTGACAACATGAACTCAAACAAGCATAAAATGGAGAGGTTTCTACATCCAGGACGTTTTTCCATGGCTTCAATTTATGCTCCAATCTCTTTTCCTCCACTTCCTTTGATAGCTTTGAAGAGTTCTGAAGGGGTGGCCGCTCCACCTACAGTAGCTGCTGTTGGTGCACTGAAATGCATTGACCCTGACAGAATTATACTAAAGAAGATTACTTTAACCGGGTATGATTCGTTCTTTACCGTTGGGGGTGGCGACCTTTTGTAGTACAGATGTTTTCCCTTGAAAGTTTTGATTTATTAAACCACAAACATATTTGATGCAGTTACCCTCAACGAGTATCAAAACTGAAAGCTTCTGTAAGATACATGTTCCATAACCCAGAGGACGTTAAATGGTTCAAGGTGAGATAGTAGACAATCTTTTAATTTTTAAATTTGTTTTGTATTGTGTCAAGAAAATTCACTAGAATCATTACGGTATGTTTTTAATGTCCTTGGTGGTGGCAGCCTGTTGAAGTCTGGACAAAATGTGGTCGTCGTGGTCGCATCAAGGAGCCTCTTGGTACACACGGTAAGATTACAGAGCAATCTGTTCTCTTTTTTTTTCTTTCACCCCTTTCCGCTATATCGATTTTTCAAGTCACTGAAATCTCCGACATACCCAAATAGTTCGAAACAGATCGTGCTTTGTTGTTGCATTTAGGTAGCTATTAAGTGCCTTTTTTTCTTTCCATATGATTTTGTTTCAGGGGCATTGAAATGCATCTTCAACGGGGTCCTCCAGCAGAGTGACACCGTATGCATGAGTTTGTACAAGCGTGCGTATCCCAAGTGGCCGGAACACCGCTTCCCAATTCTCGATGCTTGAAACGATTGTGTGCGGGCGCGAGACACTCATCCTTAGAGTGCTTCCCGATTCTTGATGCTTGATAAGATGGCGTCTCGGACGCGTGAAACTCTTTCTTCAGAGGCGGCTTCCAAGCGCAGAAGAAAGTCACGCGTCTTGTATATGGGAATGAAGCTCTGGTTCAGATTGTTGATTCCAGTTTCCAGTTTTGCCTGCTCGGACACCCGAAGTCGCGGTTTCCAGTTTTGCCTGCTCGGACACCCGAAGTCGAGTGTCGAGGACGTAGTTGTAAAATCACTGCTGCTTTTTTTCTTTGGACACTTTAGGAGAACAGAGATTTGTTTTAGTGTTGTATTGATTCTCCATTCTAAATTTCCAAGTTATACCAGTGTGCCCTTTTATGTTAATGGCGTTCTTGGGTTTATATAGTCGACTCTATTTAGTCGGATAAAGCTTTTTATTATTGTTGTTGTCGGGATTCTGCTGTTTGTTCACATCTTCGAGATGTCTCCCAAGTTTTTTTTCGTAATAAAAAGTTTAGAGAAGATCGGTTACTCTCACCATCAATGACAAAGTACATCCACAAGCTTGAGCTAGAAGGACTTCTGCATGACACTTAACCGGTAGTTGTCATCAGTGTAGATTTACGCTCGTGCACCAGTGAAGACTGCTGAACAGCGAGATTTCTCAATTCAACACAATGATTTAGCTAAAAATGTATTTCAAAGCCAATTACGCATTGCCTTGCATTCTAATCTTTTGCCGTAAGATTGACTTAAAATATTGCAGCAATAACATCTTGTCGCATGAAAGTATGGTGTAATGTTACCACTCTTACACTAAGGACGGCATTTCAAGACAATTATGTATTATAAATTTAAGGACAAAAAATAAAAAATAATCCAACCCAACCGCGCATAAGCACACGCCAACCAATTCAAATATCAAATCAAGCCTTTGCTGTAACTGTGAGCAGATAGAACTGATAAGAAGACTAATGTGCAGTGCAAAATACGTAGTGGGAGTAGTACAATGAATGATGAGATGGAATGGATGGATGAAATAAATTATTTTTAAAACATTTCATTGGGAAGGAAAACGTGAAAGTGAAGCTTCAATGACTCTTTTTTCTTTAAGAGAGGGAGAGAGAGAAATCTGTTTACGTACAGAAAGAAAGAAAAGAAAAGTATAATTTTCAACAGAAAATCAACGGTGCAAAAGTAGCACCCAAATTACTTTTTAAATATTTCATTGGGAAGGAAGAGAGGGAGTGCGCAAGGAAGAGAGATTGTGAGGATAGAGCCAACCAAATCCTTTCAAACTGACATCAACAAACTCCAAAAAATTTAAAAAAAGAGAGAAATTTGAGATAAAAAAATATATTGCTGACAACAATACATGACAGTAATTTGTAAAGAAATAGTTTAAAAAATAGTGATAGTGCTAGTGTTTGATTTTAAGAAATTGTCAGTGTTTAGTTTACGAAATAGTTAGCTTTTTGTTTAAGAAATAGTCAGTGCTTAGTTTACGAAATAGTGACAGTACTAGTTTACGAAACAGTGATACTACTAGTGTTTGGTTTGAAAAATAGTCAGTGCTTAGTTTATGAAATAGTGATAGTACTATTACTTGGTTTAATATATATAGTCAGTGCTTAATTTAAGAAATAATGTTCAATTTAAGAAGTAGTCAATGTTTAGTTTACAAAATAGTGTTTGGTTTAAGAAGTAGTCAATGTTCAATTTAAGAAATAATGTTCAGTTTAAGAAGTAATCAATGTTCTGTTTAAGAAATAGTTACAGTATTAATGTTCATAAAACTAAATAATGAAAATTTTCTTTATTTTTGATTTTGTAATATTATTACTTAGTTTGTTCTAAAACAATTGAAAGAATAATCAAATAATAAAATAATAAAATAAAAATAAAATGTTTATGGAGTGAGGTGAAAGGTGAGAGAAGAGTGGGGAGAGGTGAAAAAATAAAATTAAGAAAAAAAAGAGAAAAAGTTGATGCAGATGGGTGAGGTGAAAGGAGAGAAAAAAAATGAATGTGAACATACGAAAAAGGGAGAGAGAGAAAGAGATTGCACGGTTAAGTGAGGAAGAGAGTGTGTGTGATGTGATGCGCGGTCCCGTGCGTCAGTATATGTTTTTTTTTTGTTTTTTTTTGTTTTGTTGTTATGTAAAACTTTTGTCCTTTTCATTAAAATTTAAATTCTTTTTATGAGGTATTCATCAATTCCCCCTTGAACTTATGACCATTGGCCAATTTCCCCCCTCAACTCTCAAAATTAGTCAATTTGCACCCTACTGTTAATTTTTTTTTTTTTTTTTAAATTTTCTATCTATTCTTTTCTTAATTTTCAATCTTTCTAATAACTTCCAACAAAGTACTAAAATTAACATAAACTCACCTGCATAATATAGGGTAAAATGTACAAAAACATAATATAGTTAGTATGTGATATGGGTTGATTATAAGAAAAAGTTATGAATCGGGTTTAAAGCATGTAGAAGAAGAAATAATAACAAAAAGAAATAATAATCCTAGACTCATGGATCAAACCTATTTCAATAAAATGGGTTATTCTTAATAAGGAGTCGAAAATTATGAATAGACTAGCCATTTTTTCACTAAAGCTCGATTCTCCGCAATTTACTTGAACTTAGCTTTCACTTTTATAAAGAAAATTGTATTCACATACAAAAATTTATGCATCAATCCTTTTCGTTATCAATTTTGTATAGTCAAAAATCAAATAAAATTACTCCATACTGATTTATTATGACTAATAATACTATCTATGATAAATTGTAAAATTCTAAATCTTAATCTATTTGTAATAGGATAAAGATATAGGAACATGATTAACATACATCTTATTTAGTTTCTTACACACACTTGTTTAATTATGATCAAATTAAAAAATTAACAGTAGAGTGCAAATTGACTAATTATAAGAGTTGAGGGGGGAAATTGGCTAAATTAAAGTTGAGGGGGGAGGGAAGTTGACTAATTATGAGAGTTGAGGGGGGAAATTGGCCAAAATTAAAGTTGAGAGGGGAAATTAGCTAATGGTCATAAGTTTGGAGGAGAAATTGATGAATACCTCTCTTTTTATTAAAGTTTAAGCATTTTTTATTAAATAAAGTTAGTAGATGATTTTTGGTTAATTAAAAGTTTTGAGAAGCCCTTTTCATTAAAGTTTTCTATAAATAATTTTTAGTTTTTCATATATAATTGGCTTGTAAAACCGTTAGAGTGCGGTCACCGAAACAGAAAATTTCTCGTACAATTACAAACGTTATACAACTCTTGACAATGTGGTCCAAAATTTCAATTTCTCAACAAAAACAGGAGCAAAAATGATTAAAAAAAAAAAAAAAAAAAAAAAAGCTAAAATCTACAGAGACTCTTCAAACTCGTCCAATTTCTCTCTCTTCTTCATTTCAATTTCATACTTTCTCAGCCTCTCCTGCACTTTCTCCTGCAATCACCAAAACCCGACAGATAAATCAGACCAACACATAAATAAGAAATTCGATAAATTCATGCTATTATTCCAGTGTTTGGCAGCTGAGAAAGCTGTAATTTTCTTTTCCGATGGATTCCCGGAAACCAAACAGAGTCGGAGAGCTAATTAAGAATATGAATATTCCGCCGACCTTGTAGCTTTTCTCGGCGCGGTCCATGACGTAGAAGCCGAGAATGCCACCGAGAATGGTGCCGGAGATGATCCGGACATAGGCCCAAGTATTCCCTGCCATTTTCCCTCTCGCTTTCTCTCCTCGATTTTCTCGGGAAAGTTTCAAGCGGCGTCCAGACGGTGGTCGTGGATCTCTTGACTTGTAAATGTGTTGAGTCGGACGGGTCACTGAACCGGTTAAAAGATCCAATAGGCCTAAGATGGTTGTGGGCTTGGAAGAAGGTTTTCTATTTTAGATTTTGTTTATTTGGGCTTTTGGCTGGTTTGGGCTTTGACTTTGGTTCGGATAAAGGGCAATGATTTGATACGTGGTATCATAACACGACAACGATAAGTCACGCGGGGCACCAGTTCTAGTTAAAGTAGGTTAGCGGGGCCACTTTGGCATGTATGTCACGTGGTATTACGGTTACAATCAAAATGTTTCCTTGACAATGCCACAAATCATAAGTTTCATTACTTGTCTCTTGTATTCATAACACGTCACTAGTATGTCACGCAAGGCATGAGTAATAGTTTAAGTGGATATTGATACCACTTTAGCATTCATGTCACGTGTTGTTGCGGTTATTACTAAAATATTTTTGTGTTAGGACTGTAAATCGTACGTTCATTATTCGCTTCTCGTATTCATAATACGACATTGACATGTCATGTAGGCCATGAGTTATAATTTCAGTGGACACTGACACTACTTAGGCATGTAGGCCACATGTTAATATGAGTATAAAAAGTTTTTTTGACAGTGCTATAAATCGTAAGTTCATTATTCATCTCTTGCATATGGAAATCAACAGAAAGGCTGTATCATCTCAGATTTGGTTTCCAATATTTCTATATTTCATTACCCAAAATGCTCCAAATCTTTTGATTCATTTTGTAATTCTCATCTATATTTCAGTATATAAGGGGTGAGGATGTATGTTTCTAAACATCTCCTAGTTTCTTTCTCACAACACACCTACAAAGAAGTGTATAATCACCATTTAATTCTTGGTACGGTAGAATTTCTTTTTCCTATGTCAAAAGATGTCTTAGGTTTGAATTATTTATCTCCAACTAATAAAAAGAAAAGAAAAAAAAAAGGCGCTTCTTTTTCTAATGTTGAAAGAAACCTCAAATTCGAATTCTTCATCGTCCTTGATAAAAAAGAACATTAGATAATTTGATTTCTATAATGTAATTTCGTGCCATGGTTTGATATAATGTGTTTGTACGTCTTATTGTATTTTTTCTATTTCTTTCACTAATTTAATTACTTACATATTTGGTATATAATTTACTCTCTACTTTTCAGAGAAAGTAATTGTCAACATGAAGTAATAACTTATGAGAACAGAAAACCCATGATTTCTTTCAAATAATGAGATAATTTGAAAAGCTAGAAACCTTGCTAATTTCCCTTCTTTTTTTTTTGTCATTTTTCTTTATATAATTAAAAACTAATTAATGTACAAGTCGGGCTTCTTGTAGTTGAATTAAATTGTTAATTATGTGAGTATAAAAGTGATGATAAATGCAGAATTGGAAGAATGGAAGCATATAGTCGAAGCTGTTTACTGCAAAAGTAGTGTTTTGCGGGATGAAGTTGAGAATATAGCAGACGAACTGCGGCGAGTGTCGTTTGGTCATGCACTAATCTGACAGAACTTGCTAATTAACACACAATCCGCGGAATACTCCCTACTTACGTACGTCACAGTTGGTAATAACGTACGCATGTACGAGTATTTGGTGGATCTGAGCAAGTTTTGTCAGATTTTTGCATGGCCACATGCCACTCGGCGCAGTTCTTCTGCCATTCTCAACTTCCTCGAACACTTCTTTTGCAGTAAATAGCTTCGAATACTTCTAGTCTTCCTCCAACTCTGCAGTTGATTCCAGAAGAGACCTCTTTAGCTTCTCCCTTCCTACACTACCATACCTACAGAATCCCCAAAAGTAAATTTCTGTCCAAATCCAAGTATCTGATATAAATTAGTCCACCTACGCATGTTCTTATGGAGAACTTTTCGGTGTACCTAGAGCACGATCACATGACGTTCCTATTTTATTCAAACCATCACATGTGTATCTGGTTTAATTAATATAACCTTTATATAAGTGGAACTTTATATATCAACTATATCGTCCACCCTTATTATAACACGTGAAATGATACATTACGTGACTTGTGTTTTCGATACCTATATCTCGACCTCTTGGTCATATATAGCCGTTACGTTTACCTTGAAACATGCCTAATAACAAAAGTGAGGTGGCAAAGAGCAATCCACCAGGCCCCACCTAGTGAATAGTGCAGTGCATAGACGAGGAGTATGCAGTGAGAGAGTGAGAGCTTTAAAAACACAAACCAAAACCTCTACTTATCTCTCAGTAATGAGTCGGGAGTCACTGAGTCAGTATGCTTAGATCTGATCAGAAGAGAGAGAGTATTCAGCTTTTATCTTTCATATTTCTGCGCAGGTTTCTTCAGGTGATCAGAAAGAAGAATCAATGGCAGCACAAGCAGCAAGGTATCTAGTCGTGGTGGTTCATGGAACAGCAGCTATGGGGCCCTAATGGAACACCGTTCTCTCAGACTACCTTGAAAAGATCTGTCAGGTTGAATAACCTTCCGTTCCCATCAGCACGGACTAAATCTTGTTTTGAGTTTTGGTTTAGGAACCTAATCCTCAAGGAAAATCGCGAGGAGGAGAAAGTTATGGACACCAAACAATGCCTACCGGGAGACTCCATGAGAGCTAGCTATCACAAATATCAGCTCAGGAATACAAAACGCTGATGGCGGCTGTAAATGCTGCAAGTCGCATATCCAAACATGGAATACGTAAGCGTTCCGCAGCCCTTTTCAGGTACTCAAAAGACCAATAGGGCCATAGGCCTTGGTCCTCTGCGCCCTAAAGCGAGCCAAAGAAATTTCTCGGGACAGCGTGGGACAAACTTAATTGGTGCCCTTGTTGCAGGAACAGCAGTTGCAATAGTGCCTCACAGATTGTATGGTGGGCTGGAGCTTGCAGCTAGTTCTAACCAAACACCCCAAGACGAAACCTATGTTCCGGCATGGGAGGTAAAGTACAGCTTCATGCATAGGATATCAGTGTAATTTTGCTCCAGTTCAACAAAATTCATCATTTTTTCAGTTTCCTGATTAAGTATATGTGATCAGACTTGTATGTTAATTTACCTTTGCCTGCTTTCAGGGAACAATATCCGCTATGAATCACGATCAACCAATTCCGGTCAACCGAGCCAAGGTATGATTTAGTAATCATATGAACTTGTTCATCTGCACACACAGCCATAACTGATTATTTCGCTAAACATTTGATACGAGACTTTTTTCCTTACTCTAACAGGCCTATAGGAAGGCCTCAACACCGCAATGGTAAGTCTAACATCCTCTCTCTCTGTTCCGTTTATCTGGCAACTTGAATCACTCTTTCAGGCTTACAGCCGATTGGCCAGAGACACTGCAGATGGGCAATGTTCTGCGCAGTCCGCTTTCAACAGACTGCGAGTCTAACAACAAAAACCACTCTTTCCTTGTTCATAACGTGTGAGTGTGTACGTATGCCTCAACTTAATACGTATATATCTTCCGGTGTACCAGATCATGCCAAGGACACACACATCCTCAGATTTGAGGTTATGAATCATCACCCAATATTTGATAATCTGAGAAATAATGAGCTTGTAAGCCATCTCCTAATGAAAACAAATTTTCAGCGTTTTCTCTACTCTTTTGTGCTCATCTCAAGTCTATTAATTTGGATTTTCAGTGTTCTAGAATCAACCTCCCATCTCAATCGACGATCTTCCCCCTGCCGAAAACCACACCTTCATCGAGACTATTTTCCATTCGGTCAGTGAGAAAAGATATATTTTACATACCCAAGGGGCTATAATTGGAGATACCATTGTTTTTGGTACATAAGTTCCGATAAAAATGGAAAATGCCCTACCTTTGAGTGCGGTTTGAACTATTGATTTACGTAATTGGAAGGGAACTTGATTGCAAGACCCACCCGTCGAGCAGGGATGAAAGTCGGCCTTAGTGATCCGACGGTGCCGAGTGGAAGGGCCGTCGCTCAACGGATAAAAGTTACTCTAGGGAATGTTTGGCATCTCGATGTCGGCTCTTCGCCACCTGGGGCTGTAGTATGTTCCAAGGGTTCTTTTTTACAAATTCGCTAAATGTATTTCATTCGAGGATACTAGGATTAAGTCAATCAACATTTCAACTAAGCTACCTTTAATCACTCAGGAACCCCACCTTCCTCAACATATTGGCGAAACATCTGGTGGTTTGGAACGGCATCATCTGCTTCATCAACAACATCAACATGCCCAAACACATGGTCTGGAACAGCATCCCTCTGTTGTATCACCTACAACAGTTTGCTCCAACAGAAACAACGATGGGGAGGATACCGAATCGCTACTAGGTTTCGGGAACACAAAACCGAACAAAAACAGGTTCCCGACAATGATTTGTACAATCTAGTAAGAAATAGGACTCAGTAGTACAGCACACGAACTTATACCAAAACAATGTACACAAATTCTCATCGTACAAATATCAAAAGTAAAGAAAGTTCAGTTGACGAAACTTCCTACGCTGTTATTTAACGTTACATGACAGAGACAGCATGATTCTCAGATACATTACAACATATACACACATCGGTTTTTGTACAAAGCTCAATCCAAGGTACACATATATATATACAAGCCTTTGGGCAGTTAACTTCCGGCGAAAAAAAGGAGGGGGAAGAAAACACGGCAGTAACTATTCACAACTGATTGCCCAGGAGTAAAGACTTATCTGACATATTCAATCATCTACAACAGTAATCTGTACCTGAGAATGTAGCACATGCCAATCCTGAAGGAAAAAAGACGGAAATGCATGCGTTTTCTTGAACTCGATCAACTAGTAGCTGGGGCTCTCTTCTTCAACTTTACGGCCTTCTGACTGGATTGCTGCTTTGGAGCTGGCTCAACAAGCAGCAAGCGTGACATGACATATGCCAAGAGTTCTTCTCGGTGAGAAAATGTGAAGTCCAGATGGGCGTACTCAAACTCATTGTAGGATACATCAACACCAGATTCCTTCATCAACTTATAATGTTTTCTGACCATCAATGGCCGTATAACCTTGTCCTTTCTTCCAGCAACCAGATCAACAGGAACATCAATAAGCCCATAGTACTCCCCCAAGTCGAATGGCTCTGGACATCCGTACACCTCCATATTAGCAGAAGCACTCCCATAATCAAACATTCTAAACTTCCCTGCACGCTTCATTTGTGCAAGATGGAGAGCCACTCGGAATGATACCCCCGGCATGTCATTCATGTTATAATGTGGTAACCCTAAAACGCCAACCCAATTTGAGCTATCCCCACCAACAAAATAACTCATTAAGGTCTGAACCAGTCCCCCAACAGCGGGATAGTTATGGAAGTCTCGCG